GTTAATACAAAGACTATGTTGAAGGCCGTATAGGAGCATGCTAATGTCACTGCGATATTCCAAGGAAGTCAAAGGCGCGACGCGTTCTAGCCGGGCTGCACAACGCCAGCCAACCCACGATGTGCCCTTCGTGAGCATAAGATGCGGGATATGATCAGATAAGCATGAGAACCTCAAGATCTATAACGAGAGAGGAAATAAGGAAAAACAGAAACTTTTCGACAGAAAACGAAAAAAAAACTTCAAATCGCAGGTCACTGAGATCCCGTGGCGGAGCAAAGAGGCCCTCTTGGAGGGGCTCGCAGATAAATTTGCATATGACAAAACATTTTGAAATAAGAGGGTGAGCATGTTTGTTTTACATTTATTACAGTAACAATCAATCTTCTGGTAAATCAACAAACAACAAGAACAAGCAAACAACATCTTTCGTTGAAATAAATCTTATAAGGAATAAAATGCTTTACCAAAATGAAGGACACAATTTTCTATCAAACCATAGTCTAGCCTATCGAAAGGAAGCATGGCAAGAGCTGGGAAGCTAAATCTCAGCTGCAGATTTTCCTCGGTGAGCTGCTGTAGGATTATAATTTGAAGTTGTGTAACGAGTCTGCAATCTGTCAACTTCCAAAGTAGTAGCCACATACACACGACTGTCCACATGCACGGCGCAATCGACTTTCGCATCCACACGAGCATTGGTAGCCCAGATATCAAAAAACATTAACATCCCAACATAAATTTGATGGTTCGTAGTATCAAATATAGCCTACAATATATGAAAGCTTTCTGCCCGAAATAAAATAAATTCTGACAGAATAACAACGGAATGGATATCTTTCACACAGTTACCAAGTATTCTAACCAGTAAACAAAACAAAAAGGAAGAAAACAAATGGGCAACGCCTTTTTGTAATCAAATGAAAGGCATCTTTACTTCGGACGTTCTTATCACGAGTGCAGGAGGGGCAGGATCGGCATTATCACTGTAGTTAGCAATGATACACCTCTCTTCGTTGCTCACAGTACGAGGAGGGAACGCAACGTGGCCTACTGTAAAAGTGGCTGGGCAGCTTTACGGTACAAACACCGAATGAACCATTTTTCATGACAGAATCTCCATCTTCCATTTCCGATTCGTATCCATCGTAGGAGCAACCATTTCAGGTTCTTAGAATATAGAAATTACTTACAAATAGATATAGTAGTAATTGTTAGCTTACTAAAGTTTACCTATTGTTATAGCTTCAGGCATTCCTCCATCAGCAGGGAAAGTAAACACATCATTTATGTTGTACTGTAAACATGGCATGTTATACAACTGATTGGCCACCACGTAAAGTAGAACACTGCCCACTTACCAACGCATATATTGGTCCGGGAAGATCCCATGGATGCAGCTTATTGGGCCATATTCGGAAACGGCTAGCGATGAGATCGTTGAAAAACTGGTCTACGGCGTGTTGCGTCGAACTTGCCAGCGCTATTTCATCAGTATGCACCAAAGCAGGTAACAGTTGCATCAATTCGGCTGAATAACAAAACGTTGCATCTTCGAGTCAATTTCGATGCACCTTACCGATACACGAGGAGATTTATGAATTCAGACGCACAACCAAAAATATCGTTAACTATAAAAAAATATATATAATAAAAGGCTCTAAAAAATAAGCAAATTCAGGGGTTTGGACGAGAATGTGATGGCAAAAAATGTCCGGAAAGAGTACTTGGACGAGCTGGGGGACGGTACGAACGTGCGTCCGAGGGTGCGCGCGGCGAATTGCGCGGCAAAGTTCGTGAAGATTTGTACGACTGCGGCGCCAATTTTCGGGGCACAAACTCGAAGTAGTGTAGTTTAGTAGGGTCGGATGATCCTCCTAATCCTTTTTATTTGAAAATTGAGCCCCAATGACAGGCGCCAAACTCGTTCAAACCATTACGAACTTCGCCGCGCAATTTGCCGCGCGAATCCTCGGACGCACGTTCGTACACATACCCGGACGAGCTATTTAGATAAGTAAGCCATTGCGTACAGCTGGCTACAGTAAGCTGTCTGGATGCAATGTGCGCATTCCCATGCGAATACTGCAATCTCTACAGCCTCTACAATGCCGTGAAAACTCGTCCGCCTTCGGGTGTGCACGACGGCTAAGCCGGCCTTGAGGCCTTTATTGCGTCCTATCTAGACAGTTTTTGGATCCGACAACGCCTCTTGTGAAATTATTAGGGGTAATAGGTTCAAGTTGTGGATTAATATAGGACAATCGATATATACAAAAAAAAGACATTTTAGGGTATCATAATTTGATGCGCGCGAGCTAGAGAGATCATTTATCGATGGATCCCCAAGCATCTAATCCTCCTGCTCACCGAATTCATTTCGTTATAGACTTTCCTTGGTAAAATCATTGGAAAATAGCTACCTGTGATTTCATCCAGCCATTTGTAATGTGAGGCCAGAGCTATGAGAAGAGCCGCATCTTCGTATTCGCCACCCTCTTTTAACGACTGCTTCTTCCTATCAATCTGAAGAGGAGCCAATAAGGGTCTCGCAGGAATTCTGATATTTCTGTGACCGATCAAGACAAGATTACATATTTTTGGAAAAAATAGCCCTATCACCGCTATCGTTCCCTAAAAGTAGCTGGGAAAATGGAAGTTAGATGAGACTAACAACTAAAGGCCTGTAGGCTGATTCACAGTGAGCTTCGTGGACGGCTTTAGGCATTTTCCCGCGAGGGTTCCACCTTGACAGGAGAAGCTTTCGTGTAATGGGTAAATGTTCGGCAATGGCATCACCCACAGGATCAGATCGCGACCCAGTGCTTGAAGCACTTTTTCGCATGATTCAACTACTCACTTCCGAACCAATTGAAAAAAAGAATGGAGGCGTCCCTCCAAAACCCGGAGAACCTCTCACAACCAAAAATCTGGGGCATACATTAAAAGGTAATGGAAACAGCAAACATCCTAAGTTGTATTAGAGGCTGAATACTAATCCCCAAGTTCTGCAGGGAGAGTAAGCTACATGATGCATGGCGCATCCCAACTATAAAAGCAGGACACCCTAACATTACTCAACTCATCTGCCATGACTCTTTACCTGCTTTCTCTTGCGCACAGATGCAGTCGTACTCGCTCGACTCACACCAGTCTTCCCAGTTCTTCTGCTGGCCATGCTGTACGTACTCCCCGTTTCCGAAAACAAGTCCGAAGCCTGGAAATCATTCCCATCAGTCGCTGGGCTATCTTCAGAGCCACAATTCACCTCAAGATCTGCACCGGTCTCGATACCGTCTTTCAAATTCGCAATTCGGTCTTTTTTGATGCCACGAACTACTTCAAGCCGTTTTGTATAACTGCAAAAGAGTAATAATAGTAGAGTCAGGAGATCGATCAAACGATTTTAAGTAGTACTTTTGGAATTGTTCTGATCTGGTAGTAGTCTCTTTGAGTATAGCATGGGCACGATCGACGAGTAGACTTTTCACCGATAGCATATCTGAATTAACACTTACTCGTACCAAGATCACTGGACTGTACCCGATACCTCCGGAACTTTTTGCGGCCTCCACTGTATTCATCCATTCACCAGCCTTCGAATATGCCTCTATCATTTGCTCCGGAGAAGCCTTCTATAAAAAGTGAGGTCTACAGAAATCTGATAACTCTGGAAAAGAAAATTTTGAAAAAATGGGGAGCAGTGATTTCTCCCGAAAATTCATTGAACATATACCCCTGACCCTATTCAGATGAAGGCGAATTTTCCCTATACTGACTACTGCTAGGTTTTCACTTTTAAATTTTCCTACCAGAAAATAACACTGTAGCGGTAGCCCCCTTCACATTTGTGGCACCCGGGTAATTAGAAAAGCATTAATGTGAATATCCTCTTGAAAAAGAGAAATCTAATAGCTAGAAATCTGGCAAGGTTTGCTTAGTAATATATTAACACAATAAATGTGACATATAGGCTCTCACCATCATTCTCAGCGCCTTCGCTGCTTCTGACCATCGTCCAGTTGCCTTCAACTTAATAGCCATCTTGTTCAAAGACTTTTCTATGAGCTCTTCCGAAATTCCAAGATGATGCGCTCGAGAAACAAACCGGTCGATATTTCCCATCATTTCAAGGCAACGTAACACCTGAAACTGAGAAACTGTAAATCAGAAAACGGATCAGAAAACCATGGTTTCGACATCCCCTAAGTATTCTATCAGTAGAAAGGAAACCAAAAAACTCGTCAAGAACAACGATTCAATGGGGTGCTTTGAACGTGAGGGAACAGAGTCACATCAACAGCGCCGTAGACGAGAGGGAGGGCAAAAAACGTTCAAGTGAAGGCTCTGAGATCTTGTGAAGATATGTGGGCAGAGCGCTACACTTAGACGATCTGCATTATGGCTCAATGTCGAATAAGGACACCATTGCGCATTTCTCGCTACAAAACTATTGCTATTCTACTCTTCAGTCACATCCCTACTTCATGCCGTAGAGTGGGCAATGGACAATGGGCTAATAAGTCGACGCTACAAGGAAGGGGCTGACCTTTCCATGTTCCCCAGCTTTCTCATACAACAGAGCGGCTTCATCCCATTGAGCTTTCGATTCCAGTACTGCAGCATAGAGTGAACACAAATCCTGGAAAAAAGCACTTACTACGGGCAACTTCTAAATAAAGCATGTTCAGTAAATGCCAAATGCTGAGAATCTTCAAAATTTAGCTGCTTTATGTGAAGACGAGAATGATAGTTGTCCTTATTAACCTTATATTTCGCTGATTCCCTGAAGAGAACCAATGCAGTTGAGTACAGGTTTTTCTCGCGAATCAATTTCACGACCTCATCCCATTTGTCATCAAGGTAGGACAAATGTTTCAATGCCGATTCCCAATCTGATCGATACAGATCTATTCGATACTTCCGATAATCTTCAGGTTCCACCTGAAATAAACACCTGTTCAAACCTGATCTTGAATAGAAAATTGGTAAACAGCTTGGACTACTTTTTCATTGCAGTTATTCTCATCACTATTATCTGAGCCACTCTGGGTTCGGGTGCCACGACAATGAAAAAACATCAACAAAATAATTTTAGGAGGAGAAGTTTCACGAAAAAACTCAGAGTCGGCACTTCTACGACATTTTAGTCAACCTATTCTATGGAAGAAAGCAATGAACCTTGTTGTGATCGTATTTGTCCTCAGCGATCAACAACTTGCCAACAAGGGAGACTGTGTTCATGCAGAAGAGATTCAAAATGGCATGCAAAACGAGTTTACTTGGGTGCCTATGTTGCTCTCTTCACCTTCCTCTTTTCTACTTCCGTGCGCACTTTCTCGTTTTCTGACATCTGCCGTCGGCTGCCGAGAATGACATAACTCTTTTTTACCGGAGGTTTTGAAAAAGTCGCAATGGCAAAGTCGCAATGGCATTTTAAGGGGTACCCAGAACTATGAGTATGAAAAACATACCTTTCGAAACTCGTTGAGTATAGGAACGTACTCCTTTGGATCACGATTCGATACTTCAGCAACCTGAGAATAAAAAAACAACCATTGTCATATTAATAATACAAATTATTTCCAAGCAGTATCAATGCCATCACAAAAATATATGAAAATATGTACCTGTAAGGTAAGATTGAGATCATATGTCGCTAATGCTGCATTGAAAAGCCTTGCTTCGTCTACGAAGAACCGTACATGATGGATCCATTTACGTGTGTACAGATCACGTTTCTCGAGTGACACTGAAATCAGTAACTAAAAGTTTGACGATCATCTCCATTGTAGGTGGCGAAGATACTGATCCTGTACTGACAAGGGGCGCCCTATCACACACGCATTGTTATGTCCTTCGTTTTTTTTTCTTCCTCCTTTTTCTTTCACTCTTGTAGCTCCTAGTTAACTTTAGATTGCCTAGAACTGTTCCTCTTGTCCGTTACTTCTGGGTTTTTGTACTTTTCGTTATTTTAGCATGGGTGTTACCTATGCAATAAACAATTACAATTACAATGGTCACGGTTTCGTTCCCAAATTGATATCCGCCCAGGCCAACTAAGCCTTCCAACCCTCTGGCGTCGGTTAAATGGTATCAGACTTCTCTGGGAGGATGAAAGCACTGGCTTGTACGTCGACCGGCCACCATGTTCGTTGAATTTAAACGCGTTCAGTACGCCACTACGATTCCGAATGGAAGTCGACGCAAGGATGAATCCTTCAGACGGGATTTTAACACCCACAGGCTTTATCCTTCAATCTTTGACCCACTGTGGACACATTAGAATGCTTAGGGCCACTTAGTCAATTAGAACTGCAAGGAACATTGTGGCTTCTCCCGCTTATACTGGGGCTCCGGACAGGCCACCCAGCCAAGCCACCACTCTTAGGAGCGGAATCCTTTACCAATTATTTGACGTGGATCATTTGCATGTCCGTGCGGAAATGAGTGATGTCCGATTGGCATACCTGTGATGAGGAAACTGCGTATTTCTAATTTTTACACATACTTTTATCAGTCTCCTTTTTGATGCACCGTAACGCTCTTTCCACCTGCTGAGGAGACGATTTCAGAAGAGCCGAGAGTAAGACGACGAACATATCCAGACGTCGATCATCGGGGAGATTTAGAACCTCTTCAGCAAGCAGCTCCGTAACCCGATTAACCTGTAAATGCAATTCTTCTGAACAATAAAAGATTTTTAGTACGAGCATTGCATAATGCATCATTTGACTTACCAATTCGACATAGCAATCAACAAAGGGGAATAATGGGGTCATGCAACTTTACAAAACGTCAAGCATTCCTTATTACCATTCCAGCTAGTACCACCATATTACCGCTACATATGTAAACATTCAATAGAGCGGGTATAAGGTGAAGCCAAGCCGGTAGCTGCCACATTCACGGTCTTGATATCAAAATTAGGTCGATACTCGCTATGCCAATAAGCTTATCATTTTTCCAGAGCGTCCATTTATACCGGACACGACTAAGAGGTCAGAAGTACCGATCTGCACATCAGCTGGACCTCGAAAGGTTGGACAACACACTTTCAAGGGTCATTACAATTCCTTGTGGAGGTTGGATGCGTGGACCGCATTTCAAAGCAGAATTAATTATCAGAAACGTTACAGTCCCAAAATATCTTCAATCCAAGTGATGGTCTGTCGGGCCGAACTGTTTTCAAAATCAATGCTTTTCTCCTCATGCGCTCTTCAATGAACAGGCATTAGAGACGAAAAGATCTAATATATTCCATGAGATTCGACCCCATGGTATCCGAAGAAACATGATGCTAATATCGGAAAACAGATTCAAAAAATGAAAAAGATAGGCAAAGACTAAAGAACAACCTTGTTGTTCAGGACCTCTCCATCACACCACATACTTCGCTCATTAGAAAGCGTAGCAACGAGAATACAGACGAGTTCCACATCCTTGGCCAGCGTAACCAATTTTGAGATATTCGCTATGAACATCTAAAATGTATAACCACCATAACAATATACCATCCGCTTAGAGAATTGCAGTATACCCACCTCAGGCTTGTAATCAACTATAAAGTTCATATCAATGCGATGTTTTTTCATCTGTTTAAGAGCTTCCACAAATTTTCCATCGTCCAGAAGCTGTTTGATAACACGTATAACAAACCTGGAAAATTTTTGAAGAATGTATCCAACATTATGGAGGCATGACTCAATAAAAGTGGGCTAGCCAGGCCCATTGGCGTGATAACCATGACAACTGAAGGCCCTACCGATTTTCTGGAGGTCAGAAAATCAATTTTTCTTCGCTTTCCCATGAAAAAAATCTCTTTTTTCTCTGACCGACTTCCTCTCCGCCTCGAGGGACGAAGAATGATAAGGAAACGGTAAACCGAGCATTTCCAGCGGCCAACTTCATATTCCAAAAAAAAAAATCTAACTGCTATATCCGTTGTCGACTAATTTCATGGCGCATCCCAAGTAATACCTGTTCTATGATCTGCTCTTTCTCTGTTGCCTCCTATCATCCAAAAAATTTTCAACCGTTTCTATTTTATTTACGGAGGTATTTCACCAAAAAAATGAATGAAGACTAGCGATACCGCCATGCCTTCTGCCTAACATTACCCACTCAAATGTAATAAAAAACTCACGGTCGGGGATGAATTGTTTCAAGATTCCCGCGAGGCATCTGCATCACCACTCCAGTATCCATCGCACAGGTAATCAACTGACTTCCCAGTTCCACAGCTCGCTCTGAACATTTGAACTCGAGCATTAGTTAGAGCCAGGCATCACACGATGGGCATTTACGGATCTCGCTGTATAAGTTGATATTAAATTGAGTTTGCGGAACGATGATCGGAGAGCCGAGCAGCACAACCAAAGCCTCTTCTCCTGCTCTAAAGGCCTTCGTTCCTGCAAACCTAAGGCGATTCCGAGGCTTATCCTGGATGATGTGCCCGGTTCTGGTGTTAGCAACTATTGAGAGAACTAAACGTTTGAAAACTGACGTGTCTAGTCCAAAGGGAAAATGTAGGTGGGAGGAGCCTAAGATAAAGGCTGTTGCCTCCCCCCCTACCTTTTCAGCTCCTGAGAGGCCCCATGATTGCGCATGTTGGAGGCTCTGTTCACCGTTGTCACCGCTCCATCCACTGTAGGCAATTAAATAAGTGTTTGACTCAATAGCCAAATTCATTTAATGAACTCGCTTTTTACATACTGTAGACGCCTCGATTCCTTTTATTTGGAAACAATAGCCTGCCTCCTTTACCTTTTTTCCAAAACCTTAACTGTCCTCAAACTAGAGCACCAACTTCACAACCAAGCACTTACCATTTGAATTTATTCTCCAAATTAGAAGTTCCTCAACTCAATTAAGCTATATTCGACTTATTAAAACTCATCATCTCTCATCTCATCTAACAATAAGACATTGACTCATAGCTTGCCAACATCTATTGTTCCACTCGAAGCCACATCTCGAATTTTTTGTAAATGCGCAGCCCCTTTAAGGACAACTGTCCTTACCTGGAAGCATATCACAAACTTTCAACTCAATCATAATCTTCTTTACGCGCTTCTCGTTCACAAAGCACTAATCCGGGCTTCGTAATGTCCGACACATGCCCCACCCAGATCAACACCTNTCCTTCTCCATTGTTCTCAACGAGATCATGTTCTCTACAATATTTCTATACTTCCCGTCGAAAGTCAAACGAAGCGTGTTCGCATATTTTTCTATGTTGGCACTTTCCTAATTGAATTTTTGTGAAAAAAAGCGATGTCCTGCAGAAATACTTGCAAACGACGGATGTCTAATCAAATAAGCCTTGTATCATGTGGAAAGGCCTAGAACACATCGATACTACTTCGGAACGCCAAGGGAACGATTTACTAAAAGAGAGCAGGGTGTAAAAACTCTCCCAACAACTAATCCGCATTATGCGCCTGCAGATTATAATTCTGATAAAAAGCCAGCTAGTGAATACAGTCAAGTTGAAAAGACACATTGCGCCACATAATTATAAACGCTTCCATATAGATGTTTCGTAAAATTGCATAGAAAGATATTCTTCAAAAAAGTCTCCAAGTAGCAATATCGAAGGGAAAATGCGGAATGACACTCCAACACATGCATTAATAATTACTTTCAAGGCGTAATCCAAGTAGGAAAATGCACTCATCCACGCTTTTTTCCGACGCCTGTCATCAGAGGCCCCTTGTGACATCTTCGAAATATAGCCCCGACCCATCTTCAAAACCTGTGGGGTTTCATTGTCCCAAGTATTGACGCAGGTAGTGCTCCTTGGAAACGCTCGTGGGCTTGGGGTCATTGCCGAAGCATGGCCAAAAGTTCATCTCAATCTTTTACAGGGGTATGAACGAGAAATGGAGGTCCAGTAGATTATCAAGTCAGAAAAAAAGATGTTTCTGTTCCAATTGTTAAAGGAATTGTTTTGTCAAGTGGGATTTTCAATAAGTTAGCTATGTTGGTCAAATGGCATGTTTCACAAAATGAATAAAAAATTCTCACGACTTCTATTAGGAGTTAATGTAAACAAAAATTTTCCTTCTGTATTTGATACAGTTTTGCTCTAGATTCTTTTGAAAGTATCTAAGTGGGCAGAGGTGGTACAGTAGCAAAAGGTCACTACCGCACACGCTATTTCGGGGTTCGGATCTCAGTCAAGGTCGGCAAACTGATACCAGGCGTCTGGGAAGGAAAAGCACTAACTTATACTTCGGCGGCCCATCGTCTCTCATTGTATACATAGGTCTCTTACCTCCAAGTGCACCTACAATTCCATATGGAAGTCGTCGAATGCAGGGCGCATCCCGAGGATTCCCGCGCGTGCTATTGGAAAAACATCTTATATGAACTGTATCCATGGCGCGGAGATTGTAAAAATTTGCTGCCGTAAAACTTCATAGGTCTCACTCCCTTTAGATATATAGCTCCCTTGGCGTGCCAAAGAAATATCGATATTTCCCAAGTTTTTCCCATCATGCGAGGCGTACTTGGTAAGACATTTACTGTTTGCATTTCTACAGCATAGTCGTTCATTAATGTCAGTATAAAACATCCTTTTTGAACAAAAAGGGAGAAAAGCAGGATATCGCTCTTTGAGCTTCAGCGTCTTATCTTTTTAAGCTGTTGATTTTTAAAAACTAGTTGAAGCTCCATATTATTCCTACAAATAGCATCTGACCACCCTTCTATCTCTTTTTTGTCAACTTTTTTCAATTATTCTTTTTTCACCATTTGCTTTGCACTCATCGCTCACTATAAGCATGTTTTCCTTCCGACCTTTTCCAAGTTGCTGCCGTGTCGCTAACGATATCAGGTGTAGTTTGTGGTGTAGTGTGATGTAGATGCATACGTCGTCAGATATCAAATACGAAGTTACTGAATTCGCTAGGCCATGTCCATCCACGAACAGTTCATGTTCGGACGTTAGCACGAGAACCTGCTCCTGAAATCAAGAAAAGTACACATTGAACCCTGGAAACTTGAAGTTTTCTTTGTCTTTTCATTGAAGTAGGTACGATCAAGTTTATCCGAAATACTTCAGATATTTCATAAAGACTGACAAATAGCAATTTGCAACCATTTTCGGAATACACGGGTTGTACTAGGGTTGCCTTTTATATTTTGAGATTTGGCAAGACTAGTGTAGCAATCTAGCAACTGACACCACTATCGTAAAGTTTGACTATTTTTAGGTTACGTTGCGAAATTTGAGCGCGATTTGTTTTGTTTACACTAAGTTATAAGATTTTGTTTAGGCCAAGTTATGGGGTAGAACCGTGAGCATTTTCGCGCGATTATTTTCCTCAACTTTCGACGTGGACTATTTCAACAACAATGCACGGATGAACTCAGTTCAATTTTTGGTGATGAGGCTTCATCCAAGACCAGTGTTTATCATGGTACAGTGAGTTCACCCGAGGTCGTAGTTCACTCGAAGAAGAATTTCGTGGAGGTGGTCCAAAATCAGCTGTTGTTCCGGAAACCGTTGATACTGTGCACAAACAAATATTGCAAGAGAGTCATGTGGCCTATCGTGAGATTGGGACAACCTTAGGCATTAGTGGGATCAGCATATATTCAATTTTGCATGAACGTTTGACTGTAAAAAAATTGTTCTTGAAAAATTTGTCGATCCTCTAGAAAAGGGACTCGTGTCGATTGATCGAAAGAAATGCTCAAAAAATACGATCGCGGTGCTTCGAAACACGTCTATAGCATCGAAACAGATGACGGATCATGGATTTCTGCGTATGAGTCCGAAAGGAAACAGCAGTCGACCGTATGGATATTCCAAGATGAGCCACATCCAACAAAAGCCGTCCGCGCACCAAGCACTTCCAAGCAATTAACCTCCTGTTTCTTTGGAAAAACTGGGCATGTCGGAACCGTACCACTAGGACAAGCAGAACAGTTAATTCTGAGTGGTATACCACCATTTGTTTGTCAGTTGACTTTCAAAAAGTCAGGGAAAAAAGTTGCTGCAGACGGAACACTCTTCACCCCGACAATGCGAGCTCCCACACATCGGCTCAAACAACTCCATTTTTGAGCACTCAAAACAACGATTTGACAGGTCATAAGCCATGTAGCCCCCGGGTGACTTCTTCTCATCCCGTACGTAAAAAATAAAATGGGAAGTCAACGTTTTTCGACACCTGAAGAAGCCGTTGATGCGTTCAGGATCCATGTTTTAGAGTTACCTACATCAGAGTGGCAAAAGTGCTTCGAAAATTGGTTCGAGCCCATACAAAAGTATATAGATCTTAATGTGGAGATTTTTGAAAGGCAGTAAACCGGTTTTCAATAAATAGCATTTGTTTCGGTTCTCAAATCTCAAAATATAAAAGGCAACCTACGTACCTAAGGTGTTAAGGACGGCAATCATTCAGATGGTTGACGGGGTCCTCATGATTCCATTGACTGTACTAAAACCTTGTCCACATTCTTGAAGAGGGAGTTACAAATAGAAAATCCGTACGAGTGCATTTTACTCAAAGAAAGCACATTTCTGCTCAGCAACACTCATCACTCTCAATCTATTTAATGCTCCGAGCACAGCTATCTTGTAGTAACCCATTGGCAGGTCTAGGATAAAAATGAAGGACCATTGAAAGGTGCATCATCACCTCTATGGTCCATGGATCGAATCCGGCCTAAAGCAATCGAGTCCTTCCATCAACTGGGCTAGGACCACCATTAGTTTCACACTGAGACTGGTAACAGAGAACTGCTATGTATCATATTCCAATTTGTACCGAATTACGCTAATCGGACGAGTGTGATCGCATGTCTTACAGGGCTAATGCGGCGAGGCGAACTTTTACTGACTGATTTCAGTTCAATTAATCCCGACATTTCACTACTCTTTTGATATTAATACTTCAATTCTTCCATCCGCAATCAATTTGTTGAGGATATCACCGGAACCCTTACTTTTTCTGGAATCTAACTTCCAGAAGAGACTAATAGGTGAAAATGGCACCGCCTTCACAATGTCAGCCAAGGATCAAATTCCACTCAGACCAGCCGTAGTATCCATCCAGGATTAGCTAAACGTCACTTACCTGACTTAGATAATAAAACCGAGTTTTGTCTATGTTACTCTCCTCAACAACTAGGTAAGTGAAGGCATTCAGATGTCAAAAACTCTAGGTAAGTAGCACTCCGAAAACTCGTCACAATTCTTCACTAAAGTCACTTTTGACATTGGCTAAATGAATTCCAGAATGAATACAAATCATAATCGCCGGGCATGCATGGCATGCAGTGGCTAACGAAATAACGTTAAAGAAGTCGAAAAGACTCCATTGCAATAAGCTATCGCTATCCAAACACTCACCCCACTGAACTTGACATCGTATAGCTCTGACGATGGAACACGGAAAAGTGTTCGGATTTCGCCACGTTCGACTAGTTCCCCAAACAGTCCTTCCACGTTCGCCAGTACAACAGCATTGGAGGACGGTCGTACACCAATCCAAGCTAGACGAACGAGTGACTTGTACACGCTGGAATCTTTCCTTATATAAATTTGTTACTTCATCAGCTAAATTAGTCCATGTTACTCATTGAAATAGAATTGGCAATAAAGAAAATGTACTGACACTTGCGTGGCTCCAATACGCAGATAGTTTTCCAACTGTACCATGTTTTTGAGAGACTAGGCCAAAAGTTTCTATACGCTCTAATTAACTCTATTAGAGGGTAAGGGGTGAGGGAGAATCGTAACAACTTACCAATTACCAAAATTAAAAGGTACTACGACTTTACGAAAACTATGACACACTTACATTTCCGTTGACTGTTTCTCCAAGTCGATCTGAAAAATCTCGTCTCCCTCATTCTGTGCGACTGCCAGAAGATTTTCGCCTTTCCACACGAGATGGTGGATGAATCGTCTCGACTTCAGGTCCGTCAGTTCCACCGTTGTCTTAGGCGTCAATCCTTCACTTCCAGAACTTTTGAAATCTACAAAAATAAGATAAAAACATTAATCGAGAGTCAGAAAACCTCTGAGGTTGCTTGTTCTTCTATAGAAGATGAGTTCGTTATCGAAAAATAGCGATAGTCAAAGAAATAAAACTCTTGGTATTTGCGACTGCACAATCGAAATTTCGCTCCGATTCCCTCGCTTCAGAACTTACAGAGGACTATGGCTATTTACTTCGTCATATTAAAGTAATATCAACGTAGCATTGTTACCAATACCAACCCAATCATCACTACTTGATTCCAATCCCTCATTCTTTCCAACTTTGTTCTGGCCTACTCCGTTGTTTTATCAAAGTCATAGGGACGAATTTGTAGGGCTCTAACTACAAAAATCCTTAAAGCATTCAGACAAGCTCTAAAATTCAATAGTAAATAATTCATCGCCAGTCACTAAAATTAGTATCGAAAATATAAATTTGATTACTAATGGTAGAAGTGTAGTATCTGCAACCTCATCAAACCCTAGTTGCTGGTGAAGTCAACGAAACTCGATTGAACAAAAGATAATACGAAGTGTTCATCGAAATAACTATTTACTAATATAAATATTTAGATCAATACTGTCAACAAAGAACGTTGCACTGACAACAATAGTAAAAATGAAGATAAAAGATAAAAAGATGTAGATGAAAATACTCACAAAAATGGGGAAAGAGCAATAAATAAATTATCAGGATTTTATGAAGTTATCGAGCCCTATATTTCCTAGCAAATGATGCCATGTGCCAAAAAAAAGTTGAGCAAGAGTTGTAGGAGTCTTGAGTGCTAGCTTTTTGATGATAAAAATAACNCCCCCCCCCCCCCCCCTCTCCCAGTCCATGAAGACTTTAGCATAACCTGCGGTACTGATCCCGACTGTTACCCCAGTTAGCACTTTCCTGGTGAAGAATGTAGGGCAAGCCCTCCGGGAAGGCTACTGGCTGGGCAGACACGTAATTGAGACATAGTTCAAGTAAGGTCATGGCCCTTCAGACTCAACCCATTTGTATGCCGTACTAAATTTTTCACTAATACCATTTTACTTACATTCACACTCGCATTTTTAAACCTTTCCTATTTATAGCGATTTTCTGTTTCAGAAAACACTATGACACAGAAATGTTCAGTACTTTCTATGGCGAAATCTATTTGGCTACGTGCCACTAGACAATCCGTGAGTTTTAACATCAAATCCTCTTTATAGTTGAACATAATGCTGCTCAAATGTAATTTGTTATGTAAATTAAATACAAAATTCTGCTTAATGATGAGTTGCCTGTTTGTAGGGATGGTGCCGATGTATCATTTGCCGAGACAGAATGCTGGATAGCCCGGTAAGTATTTTTTTGTATTTTACGGTGTAACTACAAATGGCAGTTTACTACCATGGCCAATCCACTTGAACTACGACTTTTGGCGTTTCTAATTGCCAAAATGTTCATTGTATCAAATAGGCTGGTTAATGATTACAGACCATTAACAGCTAAAGTGTCAAACTAGTTTTTGAAGCCTTCATTTTCAGGATCCTCTTCACTTTTCTGAAGACGCTCAAAAGTTTCAAAAACGACTACGGAAGAAGTCCAAAGTAAGGGGATAAATCATCGAAGATATTTACCATTTTTTTATCTGCTGAAGCGTTTTCCTCACCTTTACATGGTTACGAATAAAGTACTGAATATTGTATTCGTTTTAGGCAGTTAAAAAAGGAACATATTTCGCAAATAAGAATGAACTGCATGGACTACAAAATGGGAGAGCCTTCAAAGAACCTACATGGAAGACTGATAAACCAGAAAGTGTATGTTATCCTAGCTTGCTGTTCATGTTTTATTTTTTCATTCATATTTACCTATTGCGTTGAACAAGTTTACTTTTTTTTTCCATGTTTCCAGTCGTTGTTCGTTTACATTTGGTTTCAGAATAATGCCAAGTCCCATTCTGCGCCACCCGTTAGCAGTATACCAAAGACAACATGCAATAGGTAGGTTAACCCTTAAGGATATAAACAGATGCAGATTCGATTTTGAAAAATAAAAGATCTATTTTTTCGTATAAAGATTCATATTTAGAGATGCTGGAGCCGATGTGACTGCAACTCCCACAGCTAAGGTAGGCTGTTGGAATATGGGTGAATGATGCGTTCTCAAGCTGTTGAATTTTCAGACAAGCAACCTCTCATCAAGATTGGACAGCATTAAGGCAGAAAAGTCAGTTCGCTTTTCAGATCCACTTCATCAAGTGAACTCGACCGACAGGCAGGTTAACACTATTATTAATGGTGAAGCAATTAAGTTCTCCATCCTGACTGGTCCTGATTAAGACAAGTCCACAAGATAAACTTTTCGTTAATCAACGGCCCCTGACCACGCCAAGTCAAAGCCTCTATTTCCCTGGCTGATCTCGAGTAAATTGATCAATCCTACGATTTTCTGACCTGGGCAGCCAGCGTTGTGTTTGACTTTCGGTCCATATGCGTGGCCGAGGGTCAAACAGAACGGTAGAATTATGGTCATTCGGCAGAACCACATCACAACTTGTATAATTTTCCCTCACATAAATTAGATGAATTTATGGAAGGCCTGCTTCAGCAGCGACACCGATGAGACATCCAACACGCTTGTAGATGAAAAGAAGCTCGATTCAAGCCCTTCAATAGGAGAGGACAGTGTAGTAGAGTTTATCGACTGCACCAAAAACCAGATTACTTCGGTAAGTTATTGAAAAGGGTAAAATGCATGCGGTCCTTACAGTATGCCTATTGTTACCATTACACTGAAGCGGGTACCAATTGTCAAAGAGCTTATGGTCAAAATAGCTGAGGAGGGCGGGATATGTACGATATAGTCTGGACCATAACCGTATTAGATAAGAACCTACGCCAGCTACCTTGGAATTCTGGAGTGAAACTTGTACAGACAGCTTCAAACCCAAAATAGCCTCACTGAACTTTTTGTTGATATGAATTACTTTATTTTAGGGAATTTATGATAAGAGAAGAAAAGGAGGTGGCAGGCGAATACTGAGTAGCTTGCAAACGGTATGAGTAATATTCTAGTGATTTTATATCGAACAGAAGCAATTTCTTGACTTCAGATTCTGGAAAACAGCTCCTCAAGCACTCTGGACTCCTCCATACTCAAAGGTAACCCAAATGACGAGCTTTGGAAAGATGATGAGGTAATCCTTAGAGTAGCTCGAACAAATTTCAACCTTAATGACCACGATTACAGCTTGACCTCTATAGAATGCATTCGTTTCAAAATCTTCATCAATTGGCACCACCTTTCTATCACGACAGTGAAAGCATGGACAGCTATGGCACCATAACCAGCCAAGAACTATTGGAAGCATTCGAAAAAGGAGCTGAGGTGAGTTTTGCTAGGTGAATAAGAAGATACAGTTCTTGGGGACTTAGAAAGGTTGTTCTTCAGGACAACATGAACACTCCTCTCTACTGCCCTAAAGATAATCGACATGCAAGTGAAGATGGAAACTATACTTACACTGATCTAGTCTACGTTTCAACGCCACAAAAAATATAAGAAACTATTTTCCAACCCATCTGGATGGTAGGGTCTTGAACCTTGTGTGCCTCGATTGTGTGCCCCGCATGCATCACTGTATATATGTTACTGTTATTTGTCAGTGCTTTACGTCATTTTCGAGCCTGCCTTTTAATTGCATCATTCTGAACTAAAGCAATGGTACGGCCCTCTTAGCTGTTCTTCTCTTTGTCGTGACATATGATCCATCATGTAGCATCCTTTGTAATCACCTAATGTATATAACTTTCCTAAGTGCCTAATGTATATAACTTTCTGAGTTATTTTATTTTTTTTGTTTCAACTATTGCTATTTGCAGCGTACGCGATGCTAGCGTACTGACTGCCCAACTGAGCTCATCAATGAGCAAAAGCGTCGGAACTAAAATTTCGATTGCTTACGATTTACTTATCCTGTGATTATTTTCATGTTATTGTTCCGGTAAAAATAAATAAAGGGAATAATGTAAGAGGATCGATTCAGATTAAAGTATATGAGATAAAAATTTAGTATATGAGATAAAAATANAAGTTAAAAGGGTAAAAAGGAAACTCACAAGTGCGCACTGTGCAATCAGCGTCCAATACAGCTAAGCGTGAACCGTCGTAGGATGCAGCATGAACACCACCATTATGTGGAAGCGAAAAGTCACAAAGTGGTGGTGGTATAGGAAACTTGTTGAAATTGGTAAAACGGAGTTCATCTATAAATAGTGGCTAAGCTGATCTCCTTGCAATATCAAAACTACAGTCGGCAGTGAAATAAACATTATCCGAGCAATTTCTGTTCGCTCTTAAATAAGAAAAAGTATCAGCTCCACCTGTAGCTATGACCAGCGATTCAGTGCCCGCAACAATAGGCATCAGAGCAAAGACCATCTGTGCAAAGTAACCATCGTCAAAAAGCACACACATATGCCTGCCCTGAAGAGCAATCGTAAATTCAATTAGATTGTTATGCAAAAGGCGGACTTAACAAGTGGTGTTCAAGAAAAAGGAAAATCAATGAAAGCTTCTAAAAGCAGCTTAGTGAAATGTTTTACGGTCGCATAAAAAGTCCAGCAACTCCAAAGAACGGATTGAGCTTCATACTGAGAAAAGGAGGATTACTAATGTACGAAACATTACCGTTATTTGTAGAGAGTTATGTAGAAATGAGGTTCTGATAGGATGATTGTAGATGAATCACATTTGTAATCAACTGTGGTATATAAGACACACTGAAGGGTGTTTCCTTCATTCTTTTTGTTCGTCTTCAATGTTTCGACTCCTTCCACACTCGCTGCTGTACGTCGTCCAACAATAAAGTGAGAAGCACACAGGAGCACGACGGAAGCACAAGAAAACACATCCAGTGAAGGCGTGGCAGGCAAACAAGCACTCTACTTACATATCTGGACCACACCCTCACCACAACTAAAGGCGATTAAGTCTTCAAGCATTCTAGCTCCAGAGGACAAGAGAGAAACAGGACTTAGGTAACGGGAAAGAAATCCAAATGACTTAAATGACATTGTTTACTCGAAATAAGTATAGAAAGAATAAACGATTACACATAAGGAACCTTTTCGGCGTGCCATTGGCAGTCAACAATCTTCTGAGGGAACCTTGAGGTCCACTGACGTTTCCAATCGTAATTTGATTCTGTCCAAATCTCTACTAAAAACTGCAGGAATTCATCTACCCATTCATAACTTAATCACTCATAAACACCAGATGTAGAGTGAGTGCTATGTATATACAAACAGGCTAAACGTACATTCGTCACCATGTTCAGTTCGTAAGTGAACACGTAAACAAGATGAATCGATGTCCCACTGCAAATCAATCATCTGAGATTCGCCGACTTTACTTGGCATCACCGTTTCATGACGTTTCTCACCATTCCTTTCATAGAACACCATCGCACGATTACCATCTCAAAATAATTATGTTCACGCACGAATATTTACTTAAAAATTTGCACCAAGAATTTGGGTTCAGTGGCGTGGGATAACAAAGTGGTATCCTCAGAGCTGGTCAGAATTTTACAGTTCAAATTTATTCATGTACTATTAAATGGGGGAACTACCTCCGAAACCAGGTATGATGCACTATACTGGAACAGATACTGAATACATCCCAGGTCAAGGATGGAGCTGCTGGTTGTGTTTCATACGACGGGAATAGCTATCTGATAAAGAAACACACCTTCATTTTGCTTGGTTGTGGCAATGTAATTTCCAGTAGGTCGTACAGCAATAACCTCTTCTAGTGGTTCTACATTTTTCAGTCGTGCCATCAATTCGCCATCACGATTGAATATCTGAATGTTTAAATAGAGAATGATGAAATCGAAATAATCCACTTACCGCGACTCGTCGTTCTCCAGATCGTTCCTCGTGAAACGACACAACCACATATTGGCCATCCGCACGCCACCTTATATAGGGTTTATGTGTGTCATTAGGAAGTGCAGTACGCACAACTTCGACAACCTTTTCACGTGCAGCCTAAACAATAATGCCAGATGAATGGAAAAGAGTAAATCATCTATGTTTAACCACTTTTGCCATCTGTGTGAACTATCCTGTAAATGCAGTCTAAAATGCCGGTGCTAGTTCTAGGAGTCTAGGGTACGTAAAGTAAGTAACAAGCAGAAAACAAAACAGATGTCAAACTTAATAATCGCTCGGTGGGAAAACTCCATTTCCCTTCAGAGCTAAATAGGATAAGTAGCCAGGCTAACATTCAATGAAAGCTTTAGGGTCCATCGAAAAGCTGCGATGACTAGCGCTAACCGTTGAACATGCACTTATACGTTTCGTTCATTGCAATTAATTTCTGGCCGCTTTTTTGAGAGAAAGCATTAAAACTCATGGTCACTAAAGAAAAATGGCTTGAGTAAGCGTAAACTATCGCTTCTAAGAGAGTGAACATTCACACAAGTATACCTTTCCAGCGCTGCCTTGGAACTGTGTTTCAGCAGCTCCCCAACCAACTGAAACAAGTGAATCTTTNAAGCATTAAAACTCATGGTCACTAAAGAAAAATGGCTTTGAATAAGCGTAAGCTATTGCTTCTAAGAAAGTGAACATTCACATAAGTATACCTTTCCAGCGCTGCCTTGGAACTGTGTTTCAGCAGCTCCCCAACCAACTGAAACAAGTGAATCTTTACCGGCTTCACAGCTTGTTGTATTCCTGGAACTTTTCATATCAGCCTTCCGTCGTAATCGAGAAGAACACCTATAAACTCTACAAACTACAATAACTTTTAATAAGCGTACCATTCCGCACTGATCTCAAAACATCGGTCATAGAAGACGACTCTGCCTCCTTCAACAACTGTCAAAATGACTTGATCAGGACTCCATGACGCTACTGAGCATTCTTCTCCTAAGAAACAGGCACTGCATATCTGCAACTTCTTTTATCAAAACAGCGAAAACCAATTGAAACTATGTGGTTTTCGGAAACTTCGTGGGTACCATGAGGGGGCCCTCTCACAATCCAAAAAACTGTCTATGCAGGCTCATCAGAAAATTTGTAGTCCCAAGTAACATTGGATCGACAGGTACAGTAGACGATTAAGGGCTCAAAATCAAAGTAGGCTTTATATTTAGGACTTAGAAGGTGGTCCATCTCGAGAAAACATTAAATTCATGGAACTAGAGCTGCCCTCGAATTCCGACTTACCGCACGAGACTCGATATCCATTGTGATTACTTGCCCATTACGCAGTATTATGCAGAGTTCATTTGAGTCTTGCAGCAAATCCGCTTTAACGGGACTGGAATCGAACTGGTCATTCCACTGGACAACGTCTTTGAGCTGTAACACAAGGTAAGAAAATTAACAAAAAGGGGCAGACATAATGGTGTAGAAGGGCAAATGCCAAAATCTGTCTAACCAATGCCTACCATCAGCTCAGAATCCAGTATAACAATATTATCCTGATTGACAAAATAAACTACATTCGACACATTGTCCTCAACGAAAAGCTCACATCCTGAAAGAAGTCAGCACAGAGTATTCCTTTGATAGCATCACAAATAGAGTATATTCTGTTATAGAGAATGTTGTCATAAGACTTGTTTTATAACCCCAAATTGAAAACAATTCGGTAATCATTTTATCCGGGAAAGGCACTTCCCACTGCTCACAGGGGTGCCAAATTGATCGTATGAAAGGACAGCATGAACTCAAAAATTATAAAATACGGGTTTACCTCTTATTCTCTGGAATCCTTATCAAAATGACTCAACCAAGAAAACTCTATTTTCACTGCACTACTGACTACATATTCGGAATAAGTCTAAACCATACCTTTCAAGCACTCTGCTGTAGATGCAACACTGCAAGAAGCCTGGGCCAACACAACGTTTTTCATCTGGAATAAATTTTTTTCTGTGGATCTCTAGCCTGATCAGAGATTGGTATGCCGAAAAAACAAAAATTTATTAGGAAAACATCTACACCTCTCGTTCCTTTTGATGCCCCCTTCTCTCGATGGAGCGCGCTTTTTCCTAGCCGTTATTTTGGAGCGCAGTATAAATCCAGACCGTTACAACGAGCAAACTCTACTTGTACCTCGTCTATAGATAATTTCTCAAATATACTGGGCATGTGAGCTTTTGTGCAAACTCGGATCGTAATTACAAAATATTCATTATTTCAATACTCATCACTCTTAAGTTAGGCACAACAATAAAAAAAGTGAAAATTGGCAGTAATGAACAAAGGCAGGAAATAGCAATAGATAAAATCAATTTATGGCGTGGATTCTCGGCTCAATTTGATTCAGTATATTTCTTAATAAAGATTCCACTCCAAAAGACTACTAGTTTACGAGCGTAGGCAGACATTTCCCTATTTTTTGGAAAAAATGAGGAGGAAAAAAAAGTTATGAAACGAGTGACTAAATAGTTAGTAGAAAAAAGTACCCGTAAATTCTATCACATCCATAAACACAATTATATCACGAATTCATATTTTTTATGATAAACTCTTTTATGACGTTGTGGTCGATCGGATATGCTTCCTTTATGTAGTCCGATTGCGTTAGATCACTCACATTCCATCGTAGTTGCACATCCTGTTGAAGGCTAAAAAGAAACAAATCGCGAAAGCCAGCAAAGTAGGTAGATTGATGGATAAAAAAATTTTTGGTTAAATATTCATTCGCTTCAACAAAGGAATATCTGATGACATAAATCTGTCGAGAATTTCCCCTACGAAAAAAAAAAACTCTTTTATCTT